TTCTCTGATTGGCCCGGCTAAAAATCTGCCAGTGAAATCCTTGTCTATGGAGAAGTCCCAGACGAAGCAGAGAAGGAAAACTAGAATTGAGCAGAGCTGCGTAGGAAGGCAAGGGCCAGGCTAGTTTTTTACTGAAATATCATAAATAAATGAACTGTATGCATGTTTTAAATTTAAAGTTTGAAACTACTAAACAAGACAACAAGTTTTATTAGTTTCTTAAAATAATCTTAACTTCTGTTACATGTTGGTCTTAACGTGTTTTTATCTGTTCCAATAAATGTTGTTTGTCACACATGAAAACAGTAAATGTTTTTCATTTTTCACTTCAGCATGTCGCCATATTGTTAATGACAATGCATTCTCAAGATGATGATGATGGTTGCAATTTTTTTAATAAAAACTAAGTCCACTGTATTTTTAGTTTTATAGCTGAATTAAATAAGGTCTAAAGCTACAGCTAGTCAGAGATGCATTTAAAACCTTTGCTGTCATGAAGCAGTTTTTTCTCAGTGTGATTTAAAACATATCTGATGTACATGTGTGTAACAGCTCTTGAACCCAGCGCAGGGCAGAAACAGGGGTATTCTCGTACCGGAGTGCARTATTCAACCATGGGGTATTGCATCTTGTGGCCCTTGGCAACACGACCAGAGAAGAAGCAGCTTTGGCAAATGTCATAGTTGAAATGTTTCAGACTGCGATATCTGTGGAGMAGAAGAGCAAAGCTTTGTTACAGGGTGTCTGGGTTAATACAAAGAGGACCACAGGCAGTGGAGATACATAAAGAACCAGTGAGGACTCCACTCCACTGACCTGAAGCCGATGATGGGACACTCCTTACAGATGTTGCATTTGGCCTGGTGCTTGGCGGTTTCAGCAGCTGCCACACGGTGCAGGACGGGTAACCAGACCATGGACTGGGGCTCCAGGCGCATCCAGTCCAGGAACATGGCTGCTTCCAGCTCGGGTTTGTTGTTGGCCTACAACACGACACACACAAAGAGAAGGAACACTGGTTTAAGCAACATGAAGGACCAACACTACGGAGAGCTGTTTCATTCAAAATACAATAAATAAATAAACAACGCAATAAATAAATAATGTAATTAATAAAAGTATTAATAAATATTCCATCAAATACAAAAATGTCCCCATGAAATAAAACAAAATTATTATATTATAATACATTTTTTTAGCATGTCTTTATACTATTTATTTATTACATATTGTAGTTTTATTATGTAACACTTATTTTGTAAAGCTACTTTACATATTTCAAGGACATTTATTTTGAACTCCCTTTTTATTTCATGCCATTTTACTATTTCAGGCTGTTTCATGGCGTTTAATTTCATGGTCCAATATGCAAATGAGGGGGCGGAGTTCTCGCTGAGGTTTGGGATTCAGGAAATGATCTGTTTCAGCACCAGAGGGGGATATTCCCCTGTCTGGCCTTTCTTCATAATTAAACGTTCATTTATTTAAAATAAAACACAGACATAAGTTCATAAATGAGTTGAATGACGTCACTCTGTGGTTATAAAGGCTCTGCAGAGATAC